ACTCATTGATTTAATCCATTTATTAAATTGTGACTCTTAAATCCATTGGCTTGTTCTCTGCCATTGATTATACCATATTATATGCCATCCAAAAATTTCTTCAATGTTTTGGTTAATAATCTTGATAGTATTCTAAAAGTTAATAATGAGCATATAAAGAAATTATCTAATACCTGATATATATTGAATTTCTTAAATCTACTGCAACTTAAGTGACAGTCCATTCTAAAAGTTGCAACTAAAAGATAACCTTGGAGCCAAAAAGAAAGCTCAGCAGTGAAGAGTGCATACTGCTCTTGCAGAGGACCCCAGTTCAGTTCCTTGACCAAGATCCCATGGCTCACAACTGCCTGTAACTCCAGCTCCATGAAATACAGCTCCTTCATCTGGACTCCACAAGCATCTGCACTCACAAATGCATATACTCACACACATATACAAATTTTAAAAATAAATGTGTAAAAAACAAAAAGGTATCCTTGACTTCATTCTACTGTTTCCTGTTTTCTATACTTATATATATAGAGAGAGTTATAGGTTGATTCTGAATAAAAATCACCAACACCACTTAATTGAAAGCAGCAAGGTAAAATTTTTATTTACAGCCAACCAGACTATCTATGTCAGGAATAGAAGCAGCTTCGAACACCAGTTGGCCAGAATATTTATGGGAATGCAGAAAGCAGAATAGGTGGGCCAATCAGGTTTATGCAACACAGCAAAATTTGAACATAGCAAACTTGGAATTTACCAATCAACCATCAGTTATTGCACAGAATCAGGCTTGGATAAGTGAAGCAGGTTTACAGAAGCGAGGTAAGTGGATAGTCAATTGCAGGCCTGACCTAGATTACAATACCTTGTGGCGTGTGGTCAGGCTCTTTCTCGGAATTCAAAGTTGCTTCCCCCTTCTAGGTATCTTTCATAAGTAGGAAAAAGGGCACTTCTGAAATGGCCGTTTTGGGCAAAATGGAGTAACTTAGGCTAGATTAGTTTAGCCTAATTAGTCATATACATACAGCTGCCAAGATTACCAGCTCGCCTGCCCTGAGGATTTTTCTTAATCTAATAAAATCGTAAAAGCTTCCATTTGGGTCCATTCTTAAATTCTTTTATGAATGAGAC